GCAAACACACACAAGTGCGCGCGAGCGCAAATATATGCGCGATAGCGCAAATGTACCCTTGCGAGCCTGAATAAACAGAAACTTGGGTGTTCTTTTATAATTTAAATGTAAATTATTTGTCTGTTTCCAAAGTGGTCTCGGTATATATTTTTTAATTTTTTTTAACAATAATACCTTAATTCCTGGGTCCGCAAATATACGCGCGGTATCGCAAATATACGCGCGCGAGCCCGAATACAAATAATATTGTGTGTACTTTTTTAAATTAAATGTATATGACTTAAACAAAAGGCATTTTTATGACAAATTATTTTGTAAAAACAAAACAACTCCAACTTAATTCTTATTTAAAGCAACTTTAATTTTGCAAGATAAATATATATGACATTTAAAAGGTGCTAATACATGCGCGATAGCGCAAATATACGTGCGATAGCGCAAATATACACGCGCGAGCACGATTTCACAGGATTTTGGTTGTTTTTCAAACAAAAATATTCGGCTATTTCCGGAGTGTCATCGGTAAGTTATTTTTTTAAATTGTAAACATTAAAAACTAATTTCCTCACTTTTAATTCAAAGTTTATACCCACTCACGCACGTATACATATGCGCAACAGCGCAAATACAGGCGCGATAGCGCAAATGTACGCGCGCGAGCCCTAATAAACAAAAAATGTTGTTTTTTCTTTAAAATTACACCTTCAAAGAAAAAAATAGTTGGAGTGTCATCAGTAAATTATTTTTTTTTATATTTTAAACAATAATAACGTTTTTTTCTGGGTTTTAGAACCATCTTCACAAAATGTGCCAACTAGCAATTGTAAAAATAACAGAATAGAGGCGCGCAGCCCCGATTTCTATATTATAATAAAAAAAAATTTTGTGACCGTAATTGTTTTAAGGCAATTTCTTTTTATAAATTTAAGGCAAAAACTTTACTTTAGCAGGGTAAATGTATATATCATTAAAAATACGCAAATACATGCGCGACAGCGCAAATATACGCGCGATAGTGCATATATTCGCGCGATAGCGCAAATGTACGCGCGCCACCTCGAATACAAATAATATTGTCTGTTTTTTGGTAATTTAAAAGTATAACATAAACAGAAGGTATTTTTTTATCAAAATATTTTGTGAAAGCAAAACAAATCATTCTTTATTTATTTTTGGGATATTTTTTAGAATTTTTATTTGAAGCAAATAACTTTTCTTTAGCAAGATAAATTTATATAACATTTAAAAGGCGCAAACCATGCGCGACAGCGCAAATATACGCGCGCGAGCCCGAATAAAAATTTTATTGTCTGTTTTTTTTTTCTAATTTAAATTTATATGGCTTAAACAGAAGGCATTTTTAGGACAAATTATTTTTTAGAAACAAAACAAGTTCATTTTTATTTGTTTTTGGGATATATATTTTTTAATTTACAATATTGATGCTTTTTTAAGATTTTTTATTTAAGGCAGATAACTTTACTTTAGCAAGATAAATGTATATGACATTAAAAAGGCGCAAATACATGCGCGACAGCGCAAATACACGCGCGATAGCGCAAATGTACGCGCGCGAGCCCGAATACACAGACTATTGTTTGTTCTTTTGTAATTTAAAACTATATATTTATGAGGATTCCTGTGGTGAAAACACCCAAGTCCAGCGTAATTAATTTTTACGATATGATTGTATTAATATTGTACTATAATAAACAGTCAGTATCGGCGGACAAACCTATACTGGACTCCACGACTCTATTGTCAGTTTACTGGCAACCCCCGGCGCTAGAGCTAAACTAGCGCAAGATGCGCTAGTTACCATAGTGGGAGCAGATAAACATATTTTTAACCTACGTACTAATCACCGTTGTAAAGAAAATCAAGTGTTACCCATGATTCCTACTTATAACAATGCACATGATGTGTAACACATCCCATAAGTATATTTTAATTAAAACTTTTTATCTTTTTACAACTCGCATAACTTTTGATTTAAAATGTTCATGTAAAGAAATAAGAAACGTAACCTCTGTTACTATTTATAGTTGCCAATATCTCAAGAGAGATTATTTATTTATTCAGGAAATTTTAATATAATGTTTAACTAACCAAACAATTTCATAAAAATTTGTTTGAATTAAAATATTTTTTGTTTATAATCGTAACCTTACCATCAACCTCAAAACATTGTAGTTTTTGAAGTAAATTCCAACAGTTTTTGTACCACCCTTAGCAGTACATTTATTATAATAATTTTTAAATTGTAATAATTTTGTAATTCCTAATCCCAGAGCAGGGCAAGGTCAAGATGACGATTTGACATATCTTTTTCCGCAGGTTTTTTAATGTTACCAACAAGTGTTGCCTATTATAGAAAAAAAATCTCGTGGGCAAAGTATACTTAATGGTACCCAGAAATGATCAATATGCAAAAAAAACCATATATGTGTTCAACGCATTTAGATTTAGTAAAAAATACCATAAAACACTTAAAAAACTAAACTCGGCCCATTTTCAAGCAACCACTTCCACCTTATAGTTTATAGCTATAATTTAGATTTTTTATTAAGTTATTAAAAATAATACCGAAATAAACTCCTGGACAAAATTAACGCAACATCATAAATTTGACACATTTTTTATGCTATTTTTTTTTGTTGAATTTATGATCTGATTTGAATGATTTTTTTTGCATTGTAGGTTGGTTCCTTGACAATGTCATAATTTTTCCAGTTTTTGATAAAAAGTTCATTTTTAGTTTATACCGGGTGTAATTAAAATGTAATGTTTTTTTCCGAAAATTCGTATCACCTTGTGGAGTATACTAGCAACCGAAACATATAGCAGTTGACATTAGACGGTAGGTCCATATTTCGCCAACATTTTCTTTTTTGGTTTACTTCATTATCTCTGTTATTAAAGGAGATACACCGTTTTATAGCGTTACATGTTTTTATAAACTTTATTATTCAAAATATTTATTGTTAAATGTTTTTAAGTAGGCTATGTACCTTTTCTGACATTTCAAGCGATGTGTCCACAGATGTCAAATTAAATGTCCACTAATGTCAAATTAAATTTGCCATACTGATAAAAACTGTTCGGAAACTGCTTATTAAACGTTCGTTTCGTATTTTAATCTTAAAAAATGAATCAATTACTTACCAGAGAGCACAGAGTTTCAAGATTACGTTTTGCCAGAAATTATCAACATTGGACTGTTAATGATTGGAAGAAGGTTTATTTTCAGATGAAACGAGAGTTAGTCTCAATTCTCCTGATGGGAGTGAACGTGTTTTGCGAAGGGCAGGAGAGAGATTTGCAAGTTGCAATATTTCTCCTAAAATCCCGTTTGGTGGAGACTCTGTAATGTTTTGGGGAGGAATATGCTTCAACGGATGCACAGAGTTAGTCCCTATTCGTGTAAGATCAATGAACGCCGATTATTATCTAGAAAACATTGTAATTGAACATGTAATGCCATTTGTTCCTTTTTTGGGACTGAATAGTTTATTTATGCAGGATAATGTTCGTCCCCACGTGGCTAGACAAGTTATAGAGTACATAAACTCTGTAGTTATTCCGTTGATGGAATGGCCACCTTACAGTCCCGATTTAAATCCCATGGAGCATCTTTGGGATGCTCTTAAAAGAAAAATTCGAAGTCGTAATCCCGTACCGGTTAATCACAATCAATTGGTGGATGCAGTAATTGCAGAATGGGAAGATATTCCCCAAGATACAATAAAAAATTTAATTTCCAGTATGCCGAGGCGTATGAATGCAGTGATTAGAAGTAGAGGTGGGCATACACGTTATTAACATTATAAATCCTTTAATTTTATTGTTTTTTATTTTTGTTCTTTTCATGTTTCACTATTTTTCAAAAAAAAATTGTGTTTAATGTAACATGTAATCTTATTATTAAATAAAGTTAATTTTGTTGTCATTTATCAAAGCGAGCAGAAATCACAGAACATAAGGCAGAAATTATACAGTTATACAGATAACAAATAATGTATTTGATATTGACACATCGCTTGAAATGTCAGAAAAGGTCCATAGCCTACTTGAAAACATTTAATGATTCAATTCAATTCAATTCAATGATTGTTTTGAATAATAAAGTCTATAAAAACATGTTACGCTATAACAGAGCTAATAAAGTAAACCAAAGAAGAAAATGTTAGCGAAAGATGGGCCTACCATCTAATGTCAACTGCTATATGTTTCGGTTGCTAGTTTACTCCACAGGGTGATACGAATTTTCGGAAAAAAACATTACATTTTTATTACACCCGGTATAAATCGAAAATGAACTTTTTATCATAAACAGCAAAAATTATGACATTGTCAAGGAACCAACCTACAATGCAAAAAAAAATCATTCAAATCGGATCATAAATTAAAAAGAAAAATAGAATAAAAATGTGGCAAATTAATGATGTTGCGTTAATTTTGTCCAGGAGTTTATATACCGATATATACTTTAATAATTGAAGTAAAAATTTTAGTTTTAAGGATCAGACCTGCATGTTTTAAAACTGTTTTAAAATTTGAATTTTAAGGTCCAGACCTACATGTTTTAAAACTGTTTACTCAATTGTGTATTATCCAAAATATTTGTCAGTCAAAATTTATCGTTAATTTTAATTAAAATGTATTATTGGAAGAACAAAAATGTATGAAATGAAATTGATTTGTTGGATTGGATGAAAACAACTTTTATAAACTAGCGGTACCAATTAAAAAACGGTTTTGTCTAGCTATGTAAAGTAATTTAGCATAATAATAATAAATTAATAACAAAATAAAATGTGTAAATTAAAATTGATGATTTTATTATTAAATTTCTAGAGATGTTTTGTCACCTAGAATTCATATTTTAATTTATTAATAATAACTATATGGCAAATTCTATTATTAATTATTACTGTACATATTATTTGTTATATTTAATAATTTTATTATCATTATTTATAATTGTAATTTAATTATAGAGTTACGATTCAGCAGTTGGATCCTCATTCGCCATATCGAGTCCCTTTCAGAATACACGTATTTCTTCTCCTACAGTTGATCAGACAATTTATAGTTTACCCTCAAGTTGGACATCATCTCCCCCAACGTCACCAGATATGAATAAAATACCTATAAACTACATACCCGATGATGTACATTGCAACATGTATCAAGAAGCAAATAAGAAAACACTTTATACTGAGACCAGTTTAAATGTAGTCTCAACTCATGAACCTATTAAAAATGAAACTTTGTCCCCAAGTATTTCTAATATTGGTCATGCTGTTCTTAAATCAAAAACACAAGATTTTGAAAATCTTATTAAAGGTAAAACTGTAAATAATAAATATATTGATCAAGAAAAAAAGAAGTACACTAAAAGACGTTATACTGATTCAAGACATCAAACAAGGCATATTCCTGATGCAGAAGACCTGGAAATTAGTAGCCGAAATGATACTAACCAAACTGGTCAATCTGGTGCAGTTTATAAAAGAAGAGAATTAATTTCAAGTGTGCCAAATAATTAAATATTTCAAAAATGCAAATTAAATTCAATAAGAATTACGAAATAAATCATGTATTGTAAAGTATATACTTTAATTGTAATTATTAAATTTAATTTATTTGTTACTTTATATTTTAAATGAATAGATAAAATAATTAAAAAAATATTTTTAAAATGCAGCTCTACATTTTTATTATTTCAGGGTTTGAAGACGATCAGGCAGAGCTCGCAGATCGGGCGTGGTCACAATATTTTGTTGTTTTTAGTAGATTTTAATAATAATAATATTGCCTTTATTAATAGAAAATGGGCGAAGTTTAGCAAAAGCTACTCTTCCACCTAACCCATGTTAATGCCCCGAGGCCATACACATCTATTAATACCTCCAGTGCATAAAAAGCTGTTTAATTATGTCATACTAGTTGAGAATCGCGATCACGCGATTACCTATCGCGCTGTCGCACATAAAGCCGAATGTCTAAATTAGCGGGCCAAAAATAGAAAAACCAAATTTATCCAAACTATTCACAAGTATTATCAAAAGGTTGTTAATAGACTAGGCTATACAATAAAACCTAAGAATTTGTTTTTTTAACGCAACACAATAGCTCTAGCATCATCGCAAAGTTGGTGCGGCCACTATGTATTTTATGTTTCTGAAGTTTCAAGAGAATAACTATGCTCGTTCTATGGTTCCAAATGTTAAATCACAAAGTTTTTAACATGGATTATAAAGCACCAGGTTTGTACTTTAACAGGCAATCGGGGGCTTGATGTAACTTAACGGGTTCGTTAAAACAGTAATTTTTTCTTAATCTGTTAATGGTCTGTCCCAGCTGACAGCATGACGTTTTTTTAAAGTATTTATTTCGTTACCCATTACGTCGTTTGGCCTGTTGGATGACGTCGAATCGATCAAAATATGACGTGAAAATGTTACAGCCCAAAGTGAGGTTAAACGACGTTGTTTTATGACGTAGAATATATGTTTTATCGAAGTAATTGTAACGTATAATTACGTTAATTTAAGACGCCATTTTACTAACCTATTTATGACGTATGTATCGATTTTGGGACCCCGCAGAAACAAAAATATTGCTAAAACTTTATTTCAAAAAATAAACAAAATATTGCACATTCTGTGCAAAAGTTACCTCAAATTTAAAACCCCGTTAATATATTAAATTACTTTTTAAGATTTTCATATTTACGGAGTACGTAAGTATACTTATGCGTATAGTTTTAGATTTAAGGCAACTTTTTTACAACCATTTTAGAAAAAAAAAACAGCAGTACATAGATGTATTTAACAATGTGTAACGCTTGTCATAAACTGATAAATATATAATAACCAATATACCTATGGGTATTTCGTCACCTTAATATAACAAGGTTGTATGTTAAAAAACCGAAAAATTTGAGTTTATGCTTCTACAAGGTTTTATGTAATCCACTCTTGACATACAACTTGAAAATAACTCTATACAGAGTGTTTCATAATATATGCGCAGGACTTCAGGATGTGATAAATCATCGAAAAAGATAAAAAAAGTCGTTATTAACGCTCTAAAATGCACAATTTTCGAGATACAGGGTGTTGAAATTTTAGAAAAAAATTCGTTTTTTTCGAATATCTCCGGAACCGTTTATTGTACAAAAAACAGCTTTTGTAAGCATTTTCTACTCAAAATAAGCTATGTTTTGTGCCAGAAAAAATTTTTTTTCCTCATAATTGGTGGAGATTTTGAAGGGGTAGCGGGTGTTTTTCTCCTCAACTTCTACGCCCCTGAAAAATGTACGGTTTTGAGAGGCCTATTCGAACCGCCAATGTTTTCTACACAAAAAAGGTACTCTTGGTCATAAGCTCTAAAGTTGACCTTTTTCGAGAAACATCAACTTTTATGTTTAAAAACATGGTCAATTTAAAAAAAAATTTTTTTTTACTAATTAAACATATTTTAACGTTAGAACAACTAACAAAACCAAACCATAATTGCAAAATAAAAAATGATTCAAAAGTTGTCTTTGCTAAATTCTCCAAACCGTAAAGGTTACGCATTTCGAACATTTCAGCATTTGTATAAAAAATCAAGTATCAACGAAATAACAAAATTTTGCTTACCTTAATTTATCTGCAACTAATTTAATGTGTGATAATTTGGCAAAAGCAGACACTTGTTGCATGCATGCCAGAGTTACAACAACTTGTTGAAGCCATGGCTTCAACAAGTTGTTGTAACTGTGGCATTCGGCCACACCGGCGGCTCTAAATTTTAACTAGAGCGTTTGGCGCGAAATTTAAATATTTAACTGCAAATATATTTTATTATTTATTTACAAGTTGAATAAATACTTTGTAATTCCTAATATATTGAATGTCTAGCAATAAGTTAATAATTGTTTTGTTTTGCTAATCAGGACACAAAATATTCTGGTCAGCAAAACTAAAAAAAATTAAATACGATACGATCCATAATAATACTCCTTGTAAATTTTTTAACTGAATTAAAGTGATGTGCCTGTTGATTTTAGGAAACGAAACAAAAGTCCACAATGTACAAAATTAATTTACACACTGTTTTATTTTTAAAATTATTATTGTATCACTTTAGGTCGATGTAATTTCGACGTTGGCAAGTATATGGTTGGTCTGGGTTGTGACGTCGTAGAGACATCGATGTAAGGTCGTCGACGTCATTTACCAATAATTACCTATAATCGACGTTTATATGAGGTGACCATGTCATCTGGGGTTATACCTCCACAGAATGAGATATAAGGCGTTTGATAAAGAAATATTATTATTATTTAATATTTTTTTATTTTTTTTACTTTATTTATTCGTTTATTTTTATTTATTTTGTCTAAGTATATGGTAATTCGCTTGGCTTTGCAGCCTACAAATAGTATTATTTTTATGTTGGCAACCATGTCCACCCTACTTATATTGTACTGACATAACCTATAATTATAAATGATATTAAATAAAAATATTTCTGATAATAATTAAGCACAAGTTGTATTTATGTAACAAAAATCAGGAAATATGACGCATTTTACAATTATGCATATTTTATACACATTTTTTTTAATTTTAGCCTTCAAGTAACTTGAATCAAGTTGGCCCTTCAAAACACAAATTTATTATGGTTTCTTATTTATGTGGGGTTGCGAGAGCAATAAGTGTGTTAAAAGTGTGAAACTGTAAATAATTGTGTTGTGTTAAAAAAAAGGCATAAACCACACCAACTTTTAACAAATCAAATTGCTTGATTACAAATATAATAAATTACTGGTTTACTATTATCAACGTGCCTTTATGTTTATACCTAATAGAACCTCCATATGTTAAAGTTGAAGGAAAACATTAAATTGAGGTAAAAGTATTGAGCAATATAATTGGCACCTTGTTATTAAATGACCCTAATAAAATTATATATATATATATATATATATATATATATATATACAGGGTGTCCCAGAACTCGCGCCACAGAGAAAAAGGGGGCGTGCCGATAGCAATGGAGATGCCAAATTTAAAAATAAAAAATTCTAGGTAATAGTGTAATCGAATGAGAGCAAAAAAGCGGCAGCCAATACCGAGAGCTCTCGCCTAGGTTAAACGTAAGAGCTTTAAAAATTGCTAGGAGACGATAGATCATTGTTGTATTAAAAACATTTAAAAATCTTTTGGCCAACTGTATTTACTAAGTTGTCAAAAGCTTTCAAAAATGAGGTTATTAATCTATGACTTATACTTCAGAACGCCAATGTTTTAAAATAACGATTAGGAAAGGGCTGGGAAAAAACTCGCGTTGTCTCCCTGGCGTTGCGCCCACACTAAATAAATAAATACTTATCATTTCAGTATAATCATCTAAGGAAAACATTATTTATAATAACTTAATTTATAACCTAATATAATATTAATGACAGGAGTTTGACAGCAGTGTCACAATGAATTGGATTCCAGTGGACCAAATATTTTACATATTTTTTATTATCAACAATGCAACCTAAGTATCCTAGCAATTTAAAGAATTCCCTATGGCCATCTATTGGGATTGGCTATCGTTTTTTATTCTTATCTCGCTTATCCTTTGCGTTAGACAACTTTAATTTTCAAATATGTGTTTCACGTTACTTTCGGCACGTTCCGGTTTTCTATATGGCGCGAGTTCTGGGACACCCTGTATATATTAGGGTGTTTCAAAAAAAAAAAGATTTTTCAACGGGCTACACCTGAAATAGTTATTTTATGTGGAAAAAAAGATGCTGTCAAAATATGAACATTATGGGTTAAATGGAAGATTGGTCTCAACAGATTCTTTTATTTTTTCATGTGTATCGAATTAGTGAAAGATAACACAGTCCCACATCCCCTTGATGTAAGGATGAAGTGCATACATTCTTATGTATTTTGATGCGCTGAATCTAAATATGATAATAAGCCTTGCGGGTCTTGATCTGGACTTAACCTCAAAAAACACCTCAGTTTTCGCGATTTTAGGATGATTGTTGAGGTTAGTGCCAAACCAGGACCAATTCTGTAGTCATATTCGGATTTAGGATGTCAAAATACATAGGAACATGTACTTCTCATCTCCAGATCATTTTTTGTGTTATCGTTAGTAAACTATTTAATTAACTACATTAATTTGTCTTTCAAATAATTTTTTCTTTATCTGGCATTTAATAGTGGTGGTTAAATTATCATTGATTATCATTAAATTTAAATACCCAAAAAAACTTATTCGATATTTTTTATTAAATATGAATTAAAAATTAAAACTAATCCAAATGAACAGAAATAAGCCAAATACAATCTAAAACAATTTTTTAACATTTTTAATTTTTCTTTTATTCGTTTTATCTAGTAAATAGGTTATTGTCCTATTGATCCTTTATAAATTATAAATATAAATTTGCTAAATATCCCACGAAGTCTTAAATTAAATTAAGCATTAAATGCTTAATTACATGTTTTTGTACATATCCTATAAAAGTAAGGTGAGATTTCTC